CATGTGGTATGCTAGCTAATGCTGAGAGGTGTCTGTGTAAGGCAGAGGGGGAGGGGGAATCCCTGCTTAGCAGGGAGTGGTGTGAGGAGAGCTGGGGAGCAGGGGGAAGCCAGGCAGATGCCTTCAGTCTCTGCTGGAGCTCCAGGCAGGGAGTGGAGAGGAGGGACCAGCTCTGCTGTAGAGCAGAGCCCAGAGAGCATGTCAGGGTGTTGGGGGAGTCTGGTTTATCTTAAACCAGGAAGGGGTCTGGGACAGACATTGCATAAACCAGTTTGACCCAAATCAGTTACGTCTGATACTACATTCAACCAGGTTTATTTCAAACCAGTTTCAGCCATTTTCAAACTGGTTTATGTGCACTGAACATCTGTTCTGTTACAGGTTTAAACCAGTTTCTGATCACTTAAACTGGTTTATGTGTGTGTCACAACCCAAAGTTGTGTTTTTTTTTATTTGAGTGTGCTTCGGCATCGCTAAATCATGTTCCCACCAAATTACAGCTCTTTTGCACAATGCGCGATGCAAGGAGTCCCTGCCATTTGTATTAGGATTCGCGCCACATTATTGGCCAGTCTTAATGTAGGCACACGTGGCGGCTAGCTATTGGCTCACTAGCCGTACAAAAGGCTTGGGTGGTTTCCGCCCAAATCGGAGAGAGAGAGAAAGCACGTGGAGTTCGGGAAAGGAGCGTGAGGATCTCTAAGCGCTGCTGATCCATACGAACCCAGCTTTTTTCCTTAAGAGGGCAACAGAGGTTTAATTTGTCAAACCCACGGAGCTTCAACAACTCCGCGGGACTTATTTACCGTCCCCTCGGAGCCTTAACGACTCCGAGGCATCTAACCTCTAGCCTCTCCCCGTCGCCGATCGCAGCCCAGACGTATCCCTATCCTAAGGACCCAATTGTCGAGCCCACGGAGTTTAACAGCTCCGGGGGACCTGGGAACCGAGTAACACTCACGTAGATACAGCTGCTCCGTGGGAACGAATTCTTGAACCCCACGGAGCCTGAATCACTCCGGGGTCAAGGAACCGAGTTTATTAGAGTCCTCCACCAAGAACTCAAGCGGAGCTGAGCCTGGAAAGCTGACCAGCCTACACCGCGACCACCTTGGGTGTAAGTAAATAATCTTTTCAATCAACCATTACGCCTCCGTGACTGATTCTAGCTCGAGCGTACCAAACCGCACCGCGGTTTTTTTCCAACCCCGTGTACCCGGGCTACCAGCCACAGCCTGTGTACACACAAAGATGGGCCCCCGGCTCGCACATGGCGACCCAGATGGGATCGGGAGAGAGCTCGCACATGGCGATCCAGGCGGGATCGGGAGTTGGCCCGCAGAGTGTGTTGTCTGTCCCTAGCCATAGAGGCAGTGTGGCACTGCTTTCTAGTTAGGAGGCAGCTTGCCTGGAAAGGTGCATGGTATCCCAGGTTGCTGCTGCTGGGTTTGGTAAGTTTACTGTATAGATGTAGCCTAAAGTTCTGCTGCTCAGTTTGTGCTAAAGTTTCCTAAGCATTGATGCCTCCCCACAGGAAGCAAGTGTCTCAGGGCCTCATCTCCAACCAAAGCTCCTGAGTGGGATTCTCAGACTAGGTGTTATTTCTCTTCCCCACACACATGGTCAGTTAACAGTGGGATGGTTGATATGTACTCTGCGTATATAATGCACTCACTTAAGATGTGGGATACTGGGTTTAAATTGTGTGTGTTCTTGATTTGGAGCAGGGATTTGAATTTAAGTCTTCTGAGTCCCTGATGAGTGCCCAGACCCTCTAGGGACTTGTAGGTTATTCTGGGCTGAGGCGCTCGGTATCTCTGGTTGGAGCTGTTCCACTGCATGTGTAAATAACTGTATTAACTAGAGAAGGAATTTGAAAGTTGGTCTCCCATATTTTCAATGAGTGGCCCTGACTCTGGGGGCTGTGATGTCAGCCTTTGTCTCACTCTCTGTGGCCTTGTAAATATTGGGGGATTTTTTAAGTGGAGCATCTCCAACAGGAGGGACTGAAAGAGATGCATCCCAGAATACCAACTGCTTGTTAGTCAGATCACTTGTCTAGCATGTAGATTTAGGTCTTTCCTCCACATCCAACAGGGGTAAGTGCCTTAACCATTGAGGCCATTGGCTATTCTGGCTTTCAGTCTCTGGCTTTTCACAAGTGGGAGAGGAAAACAAATAATGAACTATCTAAGTGGCTGCCCTGGCTTGGTTGCATAGCTTCAGGAGAGGGCTTATCGCTCAGGTGAGGGGAAGTGTTGGATCAGAGAACAGGACATCTAAGCTATGTCCCTTTCCTTTGCATTTCATGCTTGGTTAGCTTAGGTGGCTCCCCACTCAGCTAGCTTTGGAGAAATGCTTCTGTAAGTGCCTTATTCTCCCCCAGCATTGCACGGGGAGCCTGATCGCCTAACACAGGACTGAGAGTTCCACCAGGTAACGGGGCACCTAGGAATTAGGCATTGCAACACCTATAAAAGTGCCTTTGAAGATCTGGGCCTAACAGTTTCATCTCTATTGAAGTTAATGAAAGTCTTTTCATTGACTTCAGTGGAATTTGCATCAAACCCTACAAGCAGGACAGTGTTTCCTCTTTTATTCTGAGACCTGACAAAGAACGTCTCACATTGAAAGCTTGTCTAATACTATCCTAACTACACAGTTGGTTCAATAAAAGATATCACCCTAAGAAATCCTTGCCTCTCACATAATTTTTGGGCCATCATGGCTACAACTTCACCCTTATACTACTCTTTCACTATAGCACTTTACTCACTTATATGCACATCATTATGTTCTGCTACCAGTTATATTAGCAAAAGTGATAGTATTAATTGGCCTGCACACAGGAATGCTGACTGGTTAGGAAATATTACAGCCAACAGTCAGGCATTCTTTTCCTGTCCTGAAATTCGCTCTTGGCACCAGAGAAGTCACTTTTATATCATGGGAACGACATCTGAAATCCTTTTCCATTGCCTTTTGTATGACTGCATTAAAGATTTACACATGGCTTGGATTCCTGGAACTTCAGATCACAGTCAAGGGGGGTTGTTTTAATGTTCCAAGTGGAGACTGATTTCTCAAGCTATGGGCTTTTTATTCTCCTGAGTTATTGCAATTCCATTGGCATTGTTTGGTCTTGGTGTGCTGATGATGTGGACTGGTTGGTAGTATACTCTGGTTGTTTCAGATCTCAATGCAGACAAAATTCCAGCTGAAGTCAGTAGCCTTAAAAGGCACATATTGCTATAAAAATTATCCTGGCTTATCCAGTAAACTAAAGCTAATTTTAGTCTAAACAGGAAGGCCTTGGGATTTCTGTCATTTTTAAATCTCTCGGGTTTTCAGTCAAGTGTCTTAAAAAACATGCAGTTATGAAAGCCAAGGTTCCAGCAGGAAATGAAATATGATTGTTACTGTTTTCTTGTACTCCATTGTGTTCGTATAAATCTTTGGGCATGTTTCTTCATTCAGATCTTTTTAGTCTTACACTCTTCGGTGGGGGGTTTTTGTTGTTGTTCTTTCTGGAATGTGTTGAAGTAGTGGTATTTTAATTGCACTCTCATGCACAAGTTCTGAACATAATGCAAATCAGGGTTGTGTACTGCAGTATCTGAACTGTTTGGAAAAACATAGGAGTCTAAACTTTTAAAAAATATTTTGGGGGACTTCATGATCTCTTGAGTTTAATCCAAAACCCACTGGGTACATCTACACATGCACTTTACTGCAGAGTTGATTAATTAGCTCTGTAGTAAAGCATCGCTAATTACATGTGTGCAGGCCTTAAGGTGCAGTGAATCAACTCTACTATAAGATAGTACTGTTGGAGACAGTACTATCTTATGTTAGAGTCATTTACTGTGCAGAAAGCACATGCAGACAGTGACTGGGATTGCAGCAGATTGAGCCAGGGTGGAGCAGCCCTGGGCTAGCAGCAGGCTCAGGGGGTGAGCCACATGGTTCAGCACTTTGGGCACTCTTGTACCACAGCCAGTCCCTCTGTTGCCTGATGCCACTACCCAGAGCCTGGAGCTGACCCTCCCCAAGGCCAGCCCAGAGCTGCTCTGCCCTGGCTCAAACTTTTGTAGGCCTGGGCACATATGAAGACACTACTCTTGGGAGCTGCTGACTCTGCCATGAACTGTGCTGGAGTTTATAGAGGCACACTAATTGCATGTGTAGATACACCCACTGAAGCCAAATTGAAAGATCTCATTCACTTCACTGGATTTTGGATGATGGCTACTGCCATTCCTCTTCTATTTTACTCGGGACTTAATATTGCTTCCATGGAAGTGTACCATCTGGCTGGTGCTTTTTCTCTCCTCTTCTCTGACCTCTACAAAGGAAAAGAACAAAATTTGAAGCATTTTTCTCAGAGCTGAAACAGCTCTTTGCAAAAATCATGAGTATGGAAAAAATAGATTGAACTCAAATTACTTCATTCAGCCCTGTGAATTGTTACACTGCCTCCAGGATGCTGGTTTAGTCAAAGGGTTATCATTATGAAATCTCAGGAGACAGGATCCCACAGGGACAATGTGAACTTTGAGAGGAATATATTTGCAGACCTAAATGAGTATTTGAGTGTGTGTGCATGCATGCGCACACACGTGCCATTCAATACCTTCAACTATCAGTTCTTCCAAACTTCCATTGAGCATCAGTAATGCCAATTAAAATGAAAGTTTCCATTAAAACCAATAGGAGCAATTGCTGCAAGTAGAGGTTAAACCAGTTTCCGGAGTGGAGAGCAGAAGAGGTAGTACAACTGATAGTTCAGTAAAGAAGAAATAGGGGTTAGATAATTAAGTGGTTCTTCCATGTTTCAGAAATGTTCTTAATAAATAGGAGAAACATTTGAATAATGAATTTAATATGCGTAGCTTTTATTGCAAAATACCTCCTATTCTGTCAATTGTAAGCAGCTGCTACTGGTGGTTCTTCATAAGTGGAGTGCAATAAAGTAATGGCATTTTTAATTATTTTTGCAGGTCTGATATACTGTCATGGCTTCCTGCTTCAGCATTTTTTGTTGGCATTATCTATGCAGGTTCCAGGGCTTTGTCTAGATTGGTAAGAAATGCACAAATGAAAATTGATTCCCAGTGCTCTATACTTTTTAAATAACGAATATTTTCTTCAAGTCAAGTTTTTATACTATCTAGGTAGCATAGATAACGTATGTTACTAGAAAGGAAAGACGTGGAGCAGAGTTGTCAAGCAAGCTCAACTCTCACTGACTTCAGGGATAAGTGACAACACTGACCATCTCCCAGAACTAGTCAGCACCTTGTAGAAGAGAATGTGAGCAGTCTGTCAGATGCAAACAGTGACATTGCTAAAGGAGTTGCTAATTGTGATTTTTTTGTAATTATTTTTCTCTGCTGCGAAGTGTAAAAACAGAATATGCAAGGAGGTCAGTAGAAAAGGGTTATTAGAAAAAGGCTGCTTCTCTTTTACTATAGTTTTACAGTTTTGACCTTTTATGGGATTTGTATAAATAAGATGCAAGTTTTGTTTGGGAAGAGATTAAGAGGGTGAATAGACTGATAAGAATGGGTGGTTTAAATCAAAATAGCCCACACAGGTGTGAGGGAGGTCAAATATGCTTTCAGGAATGTTGAATATCATTAATTTACATTGCCATGCATAATTTTATTTCTTAATAATATTATTGATTTACTTAAAAAATGGTAATATTTTATATTGACTGTCCAGTCATCAAGATCAGATGCTGTGCTGGCTTCCTCTATCAGTTTTTCCAGTATGTCCCAGTCTAAACTCAGGTCACACATTTTCCATCTCCAAGTTGACACACATAAAGTACATTAAAACCCAAGAAGAGCTAAGAGGGAGATCTTCATGAAGAGCTGCCAGCACTGATCCTTCCTCAAACTCATTATATTATACACTGAGGGAAGGAAGCAGAGCTTCTCTACACCTATGGCAGAGGCTGTATGTCAGACATCAAACCCTAGGGATAGAGACAGACATTCAAAAAGCAAGAGTCTGAATTGATTCGATCTTTGCAGGTTAATCTAACCTGCCTAGATTGAACCAATTTGCAAGTGAATTGACATTCCCTCTTGACTCAGGAAAGGCGGGCACATGCCTGCAGTGGCTCAGACCACAAGCCAGTTAGTGCTAGAGCAGCCCTCAACTGCAGGGAAGCTGCGCTGGGGGGTAGGAGGGCATGTCCAGCCCTGGTAGTAGCCTCAAGTAAATTGGCTATGGAAGGGGTTTAATTCCCTTCTCCCTGTACCACTGGCACAGACCCAAGCTAGGATCCGCCTGGCGCTTCCCCCTCGCTGCTGCAGCGGCAGGCATGGGGGCATGGCTAGACACTGGCCAGGATGGCCCCCTGAGGGGAAGGGGGTGTATTCCCCACTCTGCCCCTGGGGAACTGTTGCCAGAGTCTGCCGGTCCCAACTGCTGCCTCTGCTGATTGTTCCCTGCGCGGGGCAGGCAGCGGAATAAGCTCCCTCCCTGCCCGCTCTGTCAGGTGCTGGAGGGAGGGGGGAAGTAAGCCTAGCCCCACGCAGTCTGTGCAGTCTGCCTGGCCCACTCCTACCCCCACCCACAGCTCAGTCCCACTTCTGGGAAGAGGCTTGCGCTCCCGGGAAACCATGAGAGGAGCTGCTGCCCCCATCAGGGTTCCTGCCCCTTTGCCACTCCAGCAGCAGGGGCGGGGCTGCGGCCAGACGCTGGCCAGCATGGCCCCCTTAGGCAAGGGGAGCAGGGGGACGTTATTTCCCCCTCCCTCCAGCATCTGGTGGAGGGACCTTATTCCACTGTTCACCCCACGCAGAGAGGGATCAGCAAAGGTAACAGTTGGGGCTGGCAGACCCTGGCTGCAGTTCCCCAGGGCAGAGACGGCAGAGGGAGGACTAAACCCCTTTTTTGCCCCCTCTGCCTCTGGAGGCCATGCCAGTTAGCATCTGGCCATGCCCCCGCCCCTGTCACTGCAGCAGCCAGGGAGGAGCACCAGGCAGACCCCAGCTTGGGTCTATGCCAGTGAGACGGGGATGGTGGAATAAGCCCCATCCCTGGCCAATTCACTTGAGGCTACTCCTGGGGCTGGCTACGTCCCTGCTGCTGGAGCAGCAAGCAGAGAAATGCCAGGCAAGTCTGTGCTGATGGGACAGGGGAAGGAGGGGGAATAAATCTTTTCCCTGCCCCCTTCACCTAAGGTGGGGTTGACATCTGCCCAGGCCCCCACCCCTGCCCACTCCTGCTCTGGGTCGCACCCAGAGAGTCGTGGTGGATGGGTCGGTTTCGACCTGGAAGGGTGTGGGAAGTGGGGTCCCGCAGGGTTCGGTCCTTGGACCGATACTCTTTAATGTCTTCATCAGTGACTTGGACGAGGGAGTGAAATGTACTCTCTCCAAGTTTGCAGATAACACAAAGCTATGGGGAGATGTGGACACGCTGGAGGGCAGGGAACAGCTGCAAGCAGATCTGGACAGGTTGGACAAGTGGGCAGAAAACAACAGAATGCAGTTCAACAAGGAGAAATGCAAAGTGCTGCACCTAGGGAGGAAAAATGCCCAGCACACCTACAGCCTAGGAAATGACCTGCTGGGTGGCACGCAAATGAAAAGGGATCTTGGAGTCCTAGTGGACTCCAAGATGAACATGAGTCGGCAGTGTCACGAAGCCATCGGAAAAGCCAATGGCACTTTATCGTGCATCAGCAGATGCATGACGAATAGGACCAAGGAGGTGATACTTCCCCTCTATCGGGCGCCGGTCAGACCGCAGTTGGAGTACTGCGTGCAATTCTGGGCGCCGCAATTCAAGAGGGATGCGGATAACCTGGAGAGGGTCCAGAGAAGGGCCACTCATATGGTTAAGGGC